TATATACTATTTGTGTAGACATAAGTAGCATATACCACAGTGGTAGATCCAGACTACTAGGTTTAGGATCTATGCGATAACCTCGATCTGTGGTTAAGAGACGTTAGATGAGGTGGTTCATGATCGATTACATTTACTCTTTGTCTTGTTCACGGTCTTGAGTTTCAATAATTGCTTAATGAATACCTTTGCATTCATTCTTCGCAAACTTTATTCTCTGAATTTAATCATTCGTGTTCTTATTGTTGTTATAATTATTTTGATTTCGTTATTATTCCTTCGTTTTTAGTTTCAGCTTATTGTACTAAAGTGATAGATCAAACTCACATTTGTACCACATTCAACATTAATTATCACAGACTGTTTACAATTGATAATCAGAAGTTATTAATCATTCTTGTATAAGAAAAGAAGACAGAATAGAAGGAGGAATTATTTCTTGGAATATTTTTAATAATAAAAGAATTTCAATGGTTGAGTACATGAGTCAATTGAAGCTAGACCACCATGGAAAACCTGGAAGCACTGGACGGCCATTTCGTCTTAGTATTGGACTCCTCCGTGGCAGTGCGCATCCACAACCTCGCCTCGCGAGACTCGAACCCAGGGACTATCAGTTCCCTATTGAATTTTAATAAACTTATAGGTATTGAAATTACGTAATTTACATTATCTAATTACCGAATTTAACTGTCAAAGAATAAGTTATAAATAGATTAAATGATTATTATCATATCCATATTATTACCACTATTATTATATCATTATCACCATTATTATTAAATGTCAGATGATGGATAAAAGTATGAAATTGATTGTCAATCATTAATTAATTAATAATAGTAATAATAATCACAGTAATAGTAATAATAATTATTATTACAGTAATAATAATAATAATCATTTAATTCAATGTCATATATTTAGTACATTAATGAGTATTAAGTGACAGTCACCTACAACGTAGGACCAGGCACGTATATTCATCGGTCCAAGTTGCCATACCTCACTCATTAACACAACAAGATGAACACCTAACTCACAGAAGTAGTTAATTCAATAGTGGTAATATATAAAAGAAAGATCGAATGTAAGGATATAATAGAGGGAGAAAGAATTAGTTGGTAGAAATGAAGGTATAAAGTAATTCTAATCTCATGGTTTAGAGAGAAGACAGGGAGTGCGTACACCTATGCTATTGTGATCGATTCTGAGCCATGTCACACACAGTCTCCAACCATTGGTTACGATAGTCACGTGGACCCCAACCAAATAGTCTGCATCTACCAACATGGTTAAGTTAGTAACTTCAAGGACTGATGTCACGTTTTGGTTTTGCCACCCCTAACTTTCTTCTAACCGTCTCCAACACTAGTCACCAATGCACGTCGTGGTAATCAATGTTCAGGCATACATAACACGTGACGCCTAACCATCTCAGTCGATAAAGATTAACAACCTGATCAACTGATTTACCATCATTCCCTAATACCCTACGTCTAACCTCACTATTACTTACCCGGTGATCCCAGCAGATGCCAGCAATATTTCTAAGGAATCTGTGCTCAAATACTAGGAGCTTATGAATATATATTCAACTCTTAATGACCACGTTTCGCAGCCGTAAAGTAGAGTATAACGAACTGCCGCACAGTATACTCGTCCTTTTATTGATGGACGGACATCTCGCCTTCGCCATAGGTGACGTAATTTGGCAAAATACAAGCAATCTTTTCGAATCCGTGCTGAGATTTCGTCAGGCATTAACCCATTAGGGTTGACCAGAATTCCGAGAATTAGCAATCAGTCAAACGCCATGACATATCTTCACTTATATCAATGCACGTGGACAAATGCGGACACACATTCGACTGGAAAAATGTGGGGATTTTGGATAGAGGCGATCCCAAAAACATCAGATAATTCTTAGAAGCTTGGTACTCAGGTCAGTCAGCAATAAACAAGTACATTGAGATCGATCCAATTTATCAAACAATCAGAAAAATTATGCACAAACATAGGAACAAAAATCAAACCAACGGGAGATGCAACCAAAACAAAGAAGTAAACAATGACAGGTTTAATGTTAACAAGAACCAATCAACATCGAGGTGTACAGAACAAGCTGTGAACCACATGTGAAGAAATTTGAACACTTTACTTCTACCTGAAGTTTGTGCTGATGATGTCGTTTAGAAGAACGATGAAAGCTCCACTACAAAACTATCCAACTCAGAGAACAATACTCCACGAAAATCATCCACCTTAGCTACAACTCTTCTTCACCGTCTCAGAAACAATTATTTTTGTTTACTTGTTTTTATTTTATTCATGCTGTGACATGTTTGATGTATTTAATTTATCAAATTATCTAATTTAGTCAGAAATCCCTAATCAGCGGTTATGTATAGTCAATTGATTTTTCTCGCATCAGATCTACACAGATATACATACAACTGTCGTCTTAACACAATTTCCTCCCCTTTTCATATCACATTTTTTATATTCACTATAGCAAATTATTTTTTTCAGCATTTTTAACATGATTGAATGACCTGTTTAGTACACACAGTTAACCAGAGAACCATATAGTTATTCATATTCGGTGATTTTAATGTTTGATTATATTTCCCTGAAAGTGTTTAAGTCAGATTGTCAAACGAAATGTTGGATTTTACTAAAGTTTTATTTCCGAGATTCATTATATACATAATTTTCTTCCTTAATGTCTTACACTAACTCAGACCCTGACTATTGTAAAATTATTTGTTCAAACCTAAAGAAAAGTTCTTATGAATGATATAAGTTCGAATCCTACAGGAAGTATCACTTTTTTTAAGAATACAACTACACTTTGATGATAAATGGCAAACAGCACGAAACTCAGATCAAGGAGAGTTTCGTTTTGACTACTTCTAAATCACCTAACAAGTCGACATGGTGCAAAGGATATTGAATCGCTTAGATTAACGACCACATTTTAACTTGATCAATAAAATTCGATCAGAACTAAGAAGAAGTAGATAAATAGAACTTTGTTAAGTACTCGGTAAATTGATCTTATAAATCACTATAATTAGGATAATATTAACTGATATAACGTTTATTTAAAGTTGATTTAACAATTTCTAACTTGTATTTATAATCATACTATGTATTAATACAGATTGAATTACATTTATGTGATGATACATTACTTACATAAATTACATGTGATTATATTAAACAACTCTTTTCATTAATTGTTTCATTTGTGATAAACGATTTAAAAACGTGTAGGTATTATATATATACACACATATATATGTAAACGTGTGTAATTAACTTTTAGTAAAGAGATATTTCTGTTTAATGCTTTTTTTTCCAGCAAGGTTATATTCTCTACAGAGAATCCTGGTGGGCGGCCTATGCTACTCCATAAGGGGTAAAAGGCATAAGTAAGTAAGAAAATATTTCAGAAACCATTTAAATTGTATTGTTTGTGTTTATGAAAGGTTCAAATAGATATGGAATGAAAACGCACAACAGATTAGGAAGAAGAGAGAAAGAATTCTTAAGACCTGATTTGGAGTAATTTTAGTGAAAAATCATTAAACTGTACAACGTACTTTGTAACAAATTTCAAAGTTTCATGAATCCATAATAAAAGAAATAAAGTAAATATAAATATATACAGACAAGAGGAATTTAATACTTGGCAGAATTAATCTTTACATCGAAGTGGATTAACAGGAGTTGCACCAGGTTTGAAGAAAGTTAAAAGGGCAAAGCCAAAATGTGGCATTAGTCCATGAAGTTACCAACTTTCAGTATGAAGTTGTAGAGATTATTGAGCTTCATTGAAATCACGAGTTGATCTAAGCTAGATCACCATTGAAAATCTGGAGGCACTGGACGGTCGTTTCGTCCCAGTGCAAAACTCCTCAGCAGTGAACATCCAAGATCCTATACGCAGGACTCTAACCCAGAAACTCCAGTCTCGCGAGAACACTCGACCTCTAGACAAGAATCGGCATCCAAAGGGGTTAATGTCCAACGTCAACCAATCGTGGATGAGCACCGTTGAGGAGTCCCCACACTGGGACGAAGCAGCCGTCCAGTGCTTCCAGGTTTGCAAGGGTGGTTTGATATTGATCGGTTCGTGATTTTAATAAAAGTAACTAACTTGTTGAACTGAGTCATATAGGTGCAGGTACAGACTACTTGATTGGAGTCTGTGCGATTATTATAGACAACTGCTGAAGACATTGGATGACATAATTAAAAGTCATTTGTAGTAGCACAGATGCATTCATTTCTTTTCTTAAAATACTAATAGTTTTTATTGAGTAAACTTGTTCTTTCTTCTCGGATCATATTGTATATATGTCTAATGTTGTCTACTATCACCGATACTCATTACTTCAAATACTTTGCGATGTGTCCAGATAATTTTGTCCAGTTGTGTTAATGTGGCATAATAACTAAGGTTAATGTATAATGTATATATAACCCACTAACTATTGTTATACGACTTAATATTTCTAATTTGTTGTCAGTCTACTACTTACAGTTTACCCTACTCATGAACACTTTTGGTTTGTTTATGTACAAATGTGATGTTTCATTTGATGATGCGATATGGTCCAGTATATCTGTATATAAACTCATACTTACTTGAAATGTAACATAATAGAGACTGATGTATGAATTCTCTTTTAGACTTAAGGTAGAAAATAGAGAAAGGTTTGAGAATAATGAACCAATAGGAGATCAGTTCACGTCGACTCAAGGTTAACCGTGAAGGTCAAGAGTGTGATCAGTGAACTCTAGGACGTTAAGCTATAAACGAAATAGTTGACACGAGACAGAAAAAATTGTAGTCAGAATTCTGATTGGTGATTTTAACACGTGATATCGATTAGCGATCTCAAGTTATAACACCTACTGTATCGGATTTTATGCTTATTAATTGAAATGAATAAAACAAAAGATATATATATATATAAAACAAAACTCACTTGGACCTGAATGAATTGCATTCACACGAGCTTGTTGTTCTTTCTCTCGACGATCTAATTCGGCTGCACGAGCTTCAAGTTCAGCTTGTCTACGTTCCAAGGCTAAGACACTTTCATTACCACCACCAGCGGTAGCTTTTGCATATGGTGAATACATTTCCGTAGGTGGTATTGGTGGTGGGGGAATATCAAAAACATAATTTTTATTTCGATTATCTGGAGATAATTCGTTAGTTTCAGGTGTTAAAGATTCATATCCTTTGAAAGAAACGACAAAAAAAGAAAAGGAAACAGAACTATTAGGACTAACAGAAAACTGGTCGACAGATAAAGTAACAAATTTCGTTGGATGCTTAATATTAATTAATAGGTCACAGATAAAGCAGAAGTGCTGTGTTTCAATAACAAAACAGATTATTAGGGTTGTTTGATTAATTATCCAGTTTTCAATCGTTGTTCTTCTTCATTTAATCACTATTAGTGAATGTGACAAATCACTAAATTGAGTCTAGAAAACAGCTACTGGTGGACTGCATAGCATAGTTTGCATCGTTAATCGACCAGCACTTTATTCATTATTTTAGCAAAGTGAGCTCAGAACACCGGACCTATGATCAACATAGTGAGTCGAACGCAACGTAAACCTGGAACATGTGTACATCGGTTCAAATTGAGGCACCCTATCAGTACAGCGAGATAAAATTGTCAGAGCGAATCCTAAAGTAGCAGTATTAATTTGAATGAAAGATTATGGATCAGAGATATAATTTGAAATACGAATTAGTGAAATAAAAATTTATGAGGAACTTGGAAACTCATGATCTAAAGGACGACAAAGAGTGAATACATTTTGACCATTGGGGATGGTTTTGAGGCATGTCACTTAAACTCGCTAACCACTGGTTACAATCATCAAGTTGACCCAAACCAGTTAGTCTGCGCCTACCTACATGGCTCAGTCCAACAGTCACTGTCTTCAAGGACTGATGCGATATCTTAGTTTCGCCATACTTAACATTCTTCTAACCTACTTCATACATTAGCCATCACCACGCGTCAAGGTAGTTGGTGGATGGGCATACGTAATAAGATCAGAACAAGAATGAACATAGACAATTTATCCAACACATTTCAGCAATGGAGCACTTCAAGTTGTTGTCCTTTCTAATTGTATTATACTCACCAATAATAGTGGTTAGAGCAATCGACTGTGAACCGTTGGAGTGGATATTCAAACTCCGCTTCTCCAACTTTAATTTGCGCACCGGAACCTTAGGTAAAAACATGAGTTAAAATAGATTTTGGTGGCATACATGTTGTTATCTTTGTTTACATACTGAACATACTAGTTCATGGGTTTGATTGATGTTTTAATTTCTTTACTTTTAATCTCATTAATATTCTTCTTGTACGGTGATACAAAGTGTACCAACTTAGCTTATGTCCATTTATGTTAGGTACTACATCATTCATGAATAACTAACGACTAGTTACTATTTATCGAACTAAATGGTGGTCATTAAAAATTTTCATGAAACTAAAAATTCAAGGTCAGATGTCGGGTTAGTGAAGGTTAAGTAAAACTAGTAAATAAATTACCTAATAAAATAAGAACCAAGTTGTAGTGAAGTTACATTTAATTACTATATACAGGTGTTATGACCTTTATTATTACAGCCCAGCTACTCATTGCTTAGTATTCTTTGGACACTATTTCACTTGATAAGTCACTAAATCAGAACAACGTTGAACAGGAACGTAATTATAATCCAAATAAACAAAGGCTGAATGGAAGTAGAAATCCCAATAAGAACGTTAGTATATTTATAATCTGCAAGTATCTGCTGGCGCTGATTAGCTACAAAATGCCCAATCAATGTGACTCAACACAATTCTTCATGCAACATGCTTTAATCAAATCTTTATCCCGCTAACAACAGTTTATTTCCCCACGTAATAAGGATTTTCACCTAGTCTAACCAATTAAGTTAGATAAGTCCCTTATAAGTTAGAACTGTAAATCACTTGCCAAGTACAACTTCGTCCACTCAACTTAAAGCCATACGCTCTTTTTGGTTTCGGGGCTAGGGATAATAATCAGATGATGGAATAACCTTCGAATTAATGATCTACTGACTGAAAGCTAGATACTCTGACTATTGGGTCACAGCTTCATAAAATAAACTGGAGAGAATAAATAATATAAGGAGTCAGTCAGCAGCAACGTAAAACCTCTTACATACATACATCAGTTCGAGTCGCTATACCACATTAGCACATTAGTCAGTCAGTCAGAAACAACGTGGAACTTCGTACGTACGTACATCAGTTTGAGTTGCCATATCACATTAGCACAGAGATACAATTGTCGACTCAAATCCCGTAGTGATAGAGGTAGTAAAAGTATAACCAGTAATCGGAAAGACTAGGGTTTGAAGATGTTATTCAAGGAGTATAATCCAGTAAAATAAATTTGGAGAGAAAAATAGGGGGCATGAAGAACTCAGAAGATTAGAATTTGGGAGAACACAAAGAGTGGATGCACCTGCGCCATTGCAAACGATTTTGAGCCATGTCATTCAAGGTCTCTGACCATCGGTTGCTATCATCTCGCAGATCCAAACCAGGTAGTCTACACCTGCCAACACGGCTCAGTCCACTTGTCGGTGACTTCATGGATTTGTGCCATGTTTTGGTCTGGTCGCCTCTATCTTTTTTTCAACCTACTCCTACACCATAAAACAGCGCTCGTAAGGGCGTTCGGTGAATACAAGGAGTAAAACATGACCAAACAGAAGACAAGCATTACAGACAGTAAATTTTGTTTCAGGTAAATATTTACAGAACAAATACGCTACATAGATTAAATATACTATAGGCTACTCACCTTACAGTCCATAGCTAAAACTACTGTCAACAAATATTAGTTTGCTGGTAATGTTTTTAATGATAAGTATTCATTAATTTCACGATCTTACAAATTTATGTGAGGAAAAATGCACTTAAACCAGATTTATTACCACCACCTGGATTATACAACATAATTCCATTATAAGTAGGATAGAACTGATAACTGGAATATAATATTGATGATCGTTGAGTAATAGATGTATAAAGTATTATTACCAAATCGAACTTCATGAGCTCAGAAAAAAATACTAGGAAATATGAAAACTCGATTGAAGTAGTTCTCAGCACAGCCAGTCTTAGAATTTTAATTTTCAGTGAATTTCTAACAATCAAACTAACCAGCGTCAATAATAAGATCGAAAAAATTAATAAGAACAAACCGAACTCATGAGTTATGTATCGAAACAAGCCCAACAAAAGAAAAGTCTACCACCATAATCTCATCACACTTACTTGGGGTAGGATCAGAAAAAGGATTGTAACCCTCCAATGACTCTTGATTGACTTTACTCTGCAAGAATAAACAATAACAGTTAGTAAGGACCCATAGAAATATATATAAAAAATAGATGTTATTATGCGAAGACTTGCTACGTGAACTATTTATGTAAATATCCTCGTTATAGACCTTTTATCCAACCCATTTTTACAAAATAATTCAGAAACTTAGCTGAATGTAAAACTAAAGTGACAGATATATTGGCACGGACATATATCTATTTTATTTATTATATCTCATATCAGCACAGCAAGGAGGACGAATAGATAGATTGTAAGGGTGCATGACGAAAGAGGGGAAAAAACTAAGGATTGTTACACCTATAAATATAATAAAACGATGAGTAAAAACTCTGAAGCAATAACGAAATCAATGAGCGCAAGTGGTAAGAATTAGGTAGGACATAACGAAGGTATGGAATCTTAACAATTTGTTACTTTTCACACTGGTATAGTTTGGAAAATCGATGAGAAAGTAATGAAAATAATACCAAATATGATGGAAAAGTTAGTTATTTATTTAAACACAAACATTGGTACAAGTAGGCACCAAACAGATAAGCGCCACATAAATTATTCCTTATGTGAGAGGGCTGGGGTACTGCCTGGATGTCCAAACCAAAGTTAAGTTGATTAAAAAATAAAAATGAGGGTTACTAGATAATACAACGTTTACTTTTCAGTACAAGATAGTGAATGAATACATAGGTGCTGTTAGAATAGGTTTGCGGCATGCCACCTAACGCTTTCAGCTAAAGATTATGATAATCCTGCAGGTAAATGGGAAGTTTGGTCCTTCTAACCTGACTGAATTTAATTGATAGGAGCGTTTTGAACCTTTGCTGTTTTTGTTTAGTAATCTCCAATATTTTTCCAAACTATTTTTACGCTAGCCAAGTGTATATCAACGTATTTAAATCGATGCAACGTTAAAAAAGTGAGATTTTGTATGATACATGATAAACACATTGGTATCAACAGTACTGGGGAAAAGCTGAACAATGGGACATAACACAGTCATACTGAACTTAATGATAATGAGCAAAGCCTTGAGTATTTCAAACCGAAGCTCTGATAGCTCATCCTAAAACTGATGACATGAAGCACGAATTGATGTTGTGAGATATTGATTGGAATTTATAGTCTCCACTTGTCTCCAAGTGGTTTGAGACCTACTAAGCGCGTTACAAACGCCCAATTATTATTAAATAGCATTTTAAAATCCTTATTAATGTGATTTAATATTCTTATATATTTACTCTAGACAACTGAGAACTAGTGTTCTTGTACTTCGATCGTCTTCCACTTACGTGTAAAACTTTGAATCTCAAATATTAATACGAGTCATTTGTCGAGAACTGACCGAACGAAAATTATCGACAATACAAAATAGGTGGATCGAGGTCCCAATTTGGCATGGTGGTTGAAAAACATGCTGACAAGCTACTTATGTACTCGAAACAACCGTTACAAGGCTCTTCGGACTCTTGAATGAATTTTTTACACCACTGTTTCGAAGATTACTATCGAGATTATATATTTAAGAAAAGTAAATAATAAACTAGTTAACATGTGATATTTCAAATATGAGATCATACTTGGCGCTTACGTTATCCCTCGACTTTTCTGGAGGCGGTGGGACTTACATGTAACGTGAGGTAAGACCATATACCCTATGTATAGCTCTAACAGTTCAATCGAAACAAAAAGTGCGTGACTACTCATTTGGGTCCCCAAGTTGCTAGATTGATGAATATGAGATAATAACCGTTGTTTAGTGGCTAATTAATAGTTTAAATACTCGGAGCATTTAGAGCCACTTCTATACTGCAAGATATTAGATAACTTTAAGAAAAAACTAAAAGAACTAACCATTTGAAAACACTACCGAATAGCCCGCGACTAAAGGAACACTTGGAGGACAGATTATTTATAACTTGCGCTGGTGCAATTCAAACCCCAAACTTTGTGAGGTAGTTTGTCTCTCGCAGGCTACTACTAGATAGCAAAATGATGTTTTTAGTTTCAAAAGGATATTTTTTGTTATATTCCCTTCAAATCCACTGAACAAAAACAATATCAATGGGAGGAGTGATATTGGAGTTACATATTTCATAATCTATTTCATTACCCACGAGACTACATCAAACGTATAAGTTTCCTTTGTTAGAGTCATCGCGAGATCTTGTAATGCAACAATTTGAAAGTACAAAAGTGTATTGTGGAAATTTTCGAAAGCTCAGTTTCATACTGCGGAGGTATTTAACACAAACTTGTGGACGAAAATAAATAGCTCTGTAAGTCTTCGACACTGATGTTGATCTCATTAGTCCTACTGGATTCATTCGCCTTAAGGCGCTTGGTTATACGTCCGCAACAGAACACATGTGAGTACACCGTTCTACGCATCCCTTGCAACTTTTAGCCAGGTTAGACTAAACGCTTACCTATACATCGATAATCTTCCAAATATATCTTTGAACCACTTCATTTCTGACTTTTAATTTGACGGAATTGGCATACTTAGTATATATTGGGGTCATTTAGGTCTGGTTCATGTAAGCCGACAAACCAATGAATCTAATGTAAATTTATTGCCTCGTCATGACCAATCTGTTTGATCTTACTCTGAAGCCACATCATCATCTGCCCTACAGTGATTGTTACGGTGTTCTGGTGTATAAGAAACTTTAAAAAGTAATTGAAGTACCACCATCAGAACAATACATAGAATATGAAAATGGTAAGATACACATAATGACCACGTACGTAAGACTGAGGCAAACATACATAGGTTCACATACATATTTATGTACAACCTGACGTATATGGCCATATAAATGAACCGTGAACGTCGTAGTTCAGGTTGTATGAAATAAATCTTGTCCAATACCTATAGTGTAAAAAGTTACCTTGAGAACTTGTTGTACTGTATCTAAAATGTACAAGACTCATCTACAAACCATAAAACTCACCTTTATAACCTACGTTTCATCATCGTATTTTCTGTGTACCACATTCCTGCATGTAGAATGAAGAACTCAAATATTCATGTATAGTCGTAGGATTTTTAAACATTCAATACTATTCGTTAAACCATCTGATTTATTTAAGTAGTGACATGATGAATGACACTGTCTTTCTATTGCGACGAAGATGCTTGTGTGATGTAAAATCAGCCGGAGCGAGTGTAAAATGAATGTTGCAAATGGGCAAGTGGAATGAAACACTGTGGCGTGTGCTACTTATGTAGATATAAGTAGTATATGACGGTGGTCAGGTATAGAGTGTATTTCAGTAGAACGTCGATGAGGAAAGAACTGAAACGAAACGCGATTGGTAATGAAAACGCATGAACAATGAAATCTGAGACAGTGGATTGATTTTTGCAACAGGAACAGTCAAGTTTGATATGATGGATTGATATTTTGTAAATTAACGATTTAATATATGGTTCTCAGATTTTATTGAGATGCACTGTAATTATGTGCCTAAATACATTCGATTGGCCGCATTGGTGTTCTTGTTCACTACATTTGGTGTCGCTGCCAACCAGGAGAGTGGGAAGGTGCTGTTTCGCGGACGCCGTTGCGCTCCTGGAGCTGAGGTGCAGGTTGGGGCAGTCTGGTGGAGTGCTCTAGAGGGGTGGCGTTGGCTGTAGCAGGTGCTCTTGATGGGGAGGAGCGGAGGGATGTGCGGCTGCTGACGGACATCTAATGTAGATGGCTCAGCAGGCCGGTGGAGCACGGATGTAAACGCCCCAGGTGCCGGGTGGAGGTCGGGTATTGGTTCCCAGACAGGTCGACGGAGCTATAGAGGTTAGAGCGCTGCATCCACTATTACTATCTAGCAGTTATCACAAATTCTATTATCCTCCTCTTAACAGAAAATAAGTGGGCGATTATCGCTAAGTGACCACTTTTTCGCTTGTTGCTTACTACACAACTTCCTTTCAAAATCCGATTTTTGTAAATATTTCCACTTCAAATTTTTAAACATTCCGATTCACCATGAATCACTATTTTAGCAAATAAAATGAACTATGAATATGTATTAACATTGGGCCCTAACCACACAATCCTCAGAGCTGAACACGAGACAACTGGGAAAATAGATATATAACATTTAACGCGGAGAAAAACCCAACGATGGAGAAGGCGGAAGGAGTGAATCTAATTGGTTGATTAATCGGATGGCATGACTCGGTCTTGAAGGCAATTTCACTATTGAGTGTTGTCTTATATCTTTTTTTCATATTAAATATATTGTCCTATCTTCAGCCTAAATTTGTTCTCCATCATATATTGGTGATTGTTACGATGCGGTGAGTTGATGCAGACAATGATGTGGCTTCCACATAAGATCTTATAGATCTTATAGACATCATGACAAATCTACAGTTTTAGGACTAAGTTTATAATGAAAGCAGCATTAATAACAAAGTAGGCCATAATCCCACAGATATCGCCATTCTAAATATTCTCACACTGTTGGCAAATAGCCACCATGCTGTTTTGTCATTCATGTCTTGAGCTTGTGACATAATATACGATCAGATTAATCCTTGCCAGAATGTATTGAAAAATAACAAATCAGCCACTCAGGAGCGTGCCGCAAAAACTGACTGGACATTAAATATTAGCTCATCAATTGAAAGAGCATGGTTTATATTTAGAGACATGTTTAGTTTAGATACGTCCTAGTTTATACCGTGATTGGTACCACGTAGACCAAGTAACTATCCACGATGGATGACTAGACAGGCCAAGTAACTTCCTAGATGCCGAAAAAGGATTAGAATGCGTCTATCTCTACAGGCTTAGAACAGTGTAGATCCAGTTATTGTAAGACTGAGAATGCTTATTAACCGTTGATAAGTTAGACCAGATAGTCGTAAGAAAAGAAATTGATTGCTTAGGATGGCTTGTTGATGGATCTGCAGTTATTAAGAAAGGAATGCCTTAAGACTACCTAATCATCTCAAATATGGTAGGATTATGACAACCCCTTTGGATGTAATTGCTGAACCTGTGGCAATACTGTTTGATATGTCTCTGAGACAGTCCGGACTGCAAAGAGACTAGGAGGGCGCAATAAGCAGTTCGGTGTATAAGGCTTGGAGCATAGACTTAGTTAATAACCATCGATCCGTTAGTCTAACCAGTGTAGTTGTCAAACTAACGGAAAATATTATTCAGATGGCTTTCTAAACTATGTGGAGGGGAGTAATCTTTTTTAAGGGAAAACAAAGCTTTCGAAGAGGCTTATAATACTTTACAAATCTGCTAGTTTCACAGGATGATTGGGCTGCGGCTAAAGATGGACATATTCCTGTAGATGCAATTTTCACAGATTTATGTAAAGCCTTCGGCAAGATTGTAAAATGGTGATCTACTTCGCCATTAGTACTGCTACAGTAATAGCCCTTATCCTAAAGTTGTAGATTTGTCATGATATGACTGCCTAATCTGTTAGATCTTATGTGGAAGTCACACCATTGTCTATTCTGACTCATTGCACCATAAAAATAAGCTGTATAACTTCTAGCGCTTTTGAAGAACATATTTGAGCTAAAGATGGAATAATATATTTAATGTGGGTAAAGACAATTTATACAGAATGACCACGTCTGCGAGGCTGAGCCATGCCGTCTGAATGATTAATTAATTCTTCCCGCCTCCTTCATTGTTGACCTTCCCTTCCTGTTAATTGTTGAATATGCATCTTTTCAGTTATCTAATGTTCGGCTTTGAGGATTGTGTGGTTAGGACTAATACTACTACATTGTCTCTCATCTGGATCTCAAATTAAAACGGGAAAGTTTTGAAATTCGCTGGGAAATCATAGACTGGATAAGGGACTTTCTTAATGATGGTACAAAGAGGGTAAGAGTGAATGGAGCTCCCTCAGAGTACAGATTTGTAGAAAGTGAAGTTTCCCAAGATACAATCCTTGGTCTTCATCTCTTTTTACTTTATGTAAATGAATTATCAACTGCGGCAATGTCATTCATTATACTGATCGCCGATGAGATGAATATTTGGAGACCCACGCACAGCATGTTAGATAGAATATTACAGGATGATCTCAACTCTCTATTTACATGGATGAGTATGTGGTCAATGGAAGTAAATTCTAAATCACTACAAAATATATAGAGTTGTGATACCTAAAGTAGCGGACTATAAAGATCTTGGAGTCATAATAAGAAGCGACCTCAAAACTAGGAGCAACTGCAAGGATGTTGATGCCAGAGGCTTTATGGTGTTATGGGCTATTCGTAGGTCATTTATGTACTTGGACGAAGAAATATTTAGGATATTATACTTGAATTTCGGGAGACTGCATTCGGAATATGGGATTCAATCGACAGTTCTTTGTTCCAAGTATGAAGTGGATATGCTAGAAAGAGTCCAACGACGATGGACCAAAATGGTAAAAGGTCTCTCAAGCCCATCCTATGAAGGTAGACTGAGAAACCTCAACAGTTTCCGTTATCTTACTGCAGATTACAGGATGATCTAATATTAGCTTATCGTATACTGAACAGTGACCTTAGTACTAGTATGTCTTAACTTTTCCTTCCGTCTAGGACGAATCACTTGAGGGGGAACTCCAGAAAAATTCAAAAAGTGAGATCACACCGTTTGCGTGTGGAGTTCCGTTCCTCGCACTGTGTAGTGAATTACTGGAATTATCTACCAGGACACGTAATATTATTTATTTATTATTTTATTTGAATACAAAAAATATTTGTACAAGGGAGCCCCAGATATGTATGTGTCACACAAAAAATTGAGAGTGGGAAGAGAAAAAGAATTTAAGGTGCATATACGAAAAAAAGAACAATAACGACCACAAATTAGTGTATGGTAGTGTAATATTAATAATAATAATAGTAGAAGAAACGTAAAGGTACAATCAGAAGAAATCTTACAGTTAAGGAAGAAGCAACCACTTTTTGTGAAGAAAGTAAAAGAAGGTTACAGCAGGATCGCCACTACCTTCTTTTCTAAGCTATATCTGATAACGTCTCTAGCCACTATATTGCACCATCATCCGGACCCCGACCAGGGAGTCGTGAACGACCAACAGAAGCTAGCCCTTTGCAGCTTTCTTTCATACCACGACACCATGTCATATACTGACCACTTCTCCGCTTTTTCCAACCAGTCCCAGAGTCGGCAAATAATGCACGACGAGGAATTCTCTGGGACGACATTCGTAGAACATGTCCAAGCCACCGAAGTCGGTGTTTCAAGATGGTGACACCAATTTCAATATCGTCTCTGTGACCGAACACTCGATGCCGAACCTCTGCATTACTGACATGGTGTTGCCACTGGATGCCAGCAATCCTTCTGAGACAGCGATAATTGAAAACAGAAAGTTGTCTAACATCCTCAACTCGGAGATACCATGCTTCACAAGCATGGAGCAAAACTGCTCTCACCGTCGCGTTGTAGATCCGACCTTTTACAGCCAGACTAACATCACGGAGGCGCCAAAGATGGCCCAGATTGGCATAAGCCGCTCTGGCTTTCACTATACGTGCATTGATCTCATCACTCACACCACCACAAGCACTTATGCGGCTACCTACATACACGAACTGCGACTACTTCTATATGCTCACCATCCAGAGTGAGTACAGGATTAGAATCCTGCCAGTCTTGTAGAAGTACTTTGCACTTCGAAGGTGCAAAGCACATGCCATACCTACGGACACTGACTGCCAACTGATTAAGTGTGGATTGCATGACTTGGGCATTCTCGCACAGTAAGACAATATCATCCGCATACTCAAGGTCGAGAAGTCTTTCCCCAGGCAACAGATCCAACACCACCATTATTTACATCCATCAGAGCTGTTTCCAGAATGTCATCGACGGCAAAGTTGAAGAGGGATGGTGAGATTGGGCAACCCTGTCTAACCCCACTTCGTGGATGGAACAATGGAGAGAGGTGGTTGTATGCCCTCACTATGCCTGAGATGTTTGTATATAGGGCGTTTCGGATGTTAATAAACTTCTCAGACACACCCTTCTTCAATAGACAATCCCAGAGAACAGTTCTGTCCAACGAATCGAAGGCAGCCCTGATATCAAGAAACACTACGATTGTTGGCCTTTGATAAGTATGACGGTGTTCTAACATTTGGCGGAGGGTGAAGATATGATCAATACATCCTCGACCGGAACGAAACCCAGCCTGCTCCTCGCGAGTCAATCCTTCTGGGGTTTTGAACAACCTACGAAGTATGACGGAAGCCAATAGCTCGGAATTAGACTTATTACCCTGATAGTTGTTACTATCGACTCATTCCATGACGTTGGTACACTCTCTAGTTCCCAGACCTTTGTAAACAACGTCGTCAGTCCCTTAGTCAGAAAGTCACCACCATCTTTAAAAAGAACCGGAGGTAAGTCATCTGGGCCCGGTGATTTGCAACGTTTCAAGAGTTGGAGTTCCTTGCGGACTTCCGCCTCATTTGGTGGATCAGTCGTCACCGGCCATGGAGGGCAGGACAGTCTGATCGGTGTTGTCGGGGCAACAGGCCAGTTGAACTGCCCTTCAAAGAATTCTGCCCATCGTCCAAGACGTCGATGGATGTTAATGATTGGCGTTCCGTCATCCTCGCAGATTGTTTCGCTCACACCAGACTTCTTGCTGCCAGTGGCTCGGTGAGTTGAAAACACGTAATATTAGCACCTTCTGTTAATATATTCTAAACGAGATTGGATCTCTACAAACTGAAAAGAATAATATAGGTCGGTAGACCATCCTTACTACTGAAAATTAACCTTGACTGAGAGGTAAGATAACTCCAACGGATTGATGCATTGAGCTTACCTGGCGGCTAAGGTAAAAGATGCTCCACTTTTCGTAGAAGAATGTGTTCGGTTGTTTCCTATCGTTTCGTTTCTATACATTACAGGGCACTTGAAAATATATTTAAAACGTTGACGTAGTTCATCTCATAAAAACCCTAAGAAGTGATATATTTGCAGGTTAACCCGCCACCTATTACAATTGCAAACAAATGATTGAATTTTGCAATTACGAATTTCTTTATGGCTACAATAATTTGATTAATGGCAACTTATGTTCCGTTACATGCACCTATCGAAACACTACCTTCAACACCTTAATCATGTATATACTTGCTTGTCAACTCTCAACTTGGAGGACTCTAATTAGGGGACTATCTTTGAACGAATCTTAAGTGACCTTGAGAATAATAGCCAATCAGAAGACACCTAGTATAACGTAGAAATACATTAGAAGAAACTAATGGATTACAGTGAATATACTACTTTTACATGATTTAAAAACTTATCAATGTTTGCTAAAGTTTCAGATGTTTTGAAATCATATTGCATACGGCATAAAAAGTCATAAATTCCAAGTACCTGTCGAGTATATGTATGGAAATGCTACTTACACAATCCTACTTTATACTACGTCCCCTGTTGTATTTTCGCTTTCTCACTGCCGTTTTATCTGTCTGAACGATACATCCTACTCCTCCGAATGATTGGTGTACAAGTGTTATTTTTGTTGCCGGCAGTACTCATACCACTGGACTGCTGAAGTTTCATAAACAACTGCAAACGCCGCAGCCAGTGTTACTGGTGTATTTATTACCCAATTTGCAACTATTATCATAATCTGATTCAGTTTCAGTAGCAATCGAGCAAAGAAAGTCATCGTTCTAGCAGACTTTTTCCTCCAACATGAAGGACAACGAAATATTATCTCACCACGGTTATTTGCACACTTTACTGCAGTCATTTGATAAGCGCAGTCTCACGTACAAGAACTTTTTAGTAATCCTATCCCTTGTAGCCTCTCAATAATCACTTAAAATTTCTTGAAGTTTTTCCCCAAAATTTTTCACAATTTCGTGGTTTTCTTAATAAATTTAGGCGCACTTCTCCAAAGTGTAATAAGAATCTGGGGAAATTTTGGGGGTCTTGTGCGATTTCTCCAAAGTTTACAATAGCGGCTTCCCCAAAATGTGCCAAATTTTCCCAAAAATTGAGAGCTTGCGTAACCGTTAACGGTTAGTCTTATTTATCAACTGCTTAATAGCTCTTCTACATAACCGTTAGGGATTTTAGGTGGCCTCTTGTAACTACTTCATATTTATCTAAACCAACTTGGAGATATTATCAGGACCAATGTAGACACTTCAGCTTTTAGTTCTGCCCAAGACTGGAGCATATAATACACAGATTGTTTATCAATAGATACTAATTACACTCATTTGAATTGTCAGAGTTGTGGGGATTCGTGCCTGTAAATGACAAATTTTTATCGATATCGCAAGTCTTGTAAGCGCAATCTATGTACTTCAATCATATTTATCCTTGTTTGTTTTTTAGATCCTTGTGCCCAATAAACCACAGAACTCGTGTCCAAGTTAGTCTATTTTTCTAATAATCAAGAACAAATTAGATCTTGCTTTTAACTCTGAAGCTGTATTCTGCTTTATGTTATACTTTAACGTATCTCATATCTCCCCGAATTCATAATGCCGAAAATATCTTTACCACTAGGCCAATATAATTTACCTACTTTCCGTTGACTCAAATTTACTCGACTAACCAGATAATCTGATGAAATAAGAGCGGGTAAATCAATGTATAATCATCTAGGTTGATGGAAAGTCGAATAAAAAAGAACAATGGGACCGTTAGACAATAAAACTTTACCTAGTGTTTTACCTTATTTCCTCCATTATTCCCATTTCACTTCTCCAGCTAGATATTGTAATTTCCCCTTAGACTTAAGTAGTTTTCCAAATAATGGGTAATTCAAATTAGTAAATAACACTTTATACTAGAGTCCCTGTAAGTAACTATATCTTGTAATGTAATGGTTAATGAGTCCGACTTTCAGTGGTTTATACCTAGGTTTCAACCTCATTACACCTACTTCGGTTTTAGCAACCAGTAGTAGAATAAAAAAGTTTCAAGGAAGATATACGTCATTGTTGTCTTAAATCTCTCAGTAACTGAAGATTCATTACCTCGATCGATTTGTTATCATAACCTTGTACTCTAGATCTAATCTCAAATTGCTTACTCACATCTGTTACCACTCAAAAGTGAGCATAGGCCGCTCACCATCATTCTCTATCCAACTCTGTCCTGAGCAATCCTCCCTAGTTGCTATTGATCCTTTTCATCTCAAGCTGACGGTCCCGAAATACACGAGAAATGGTTCGAAAATACTTATATTTGAAATATTAGTAATCTACAAACACCTATTTTTAGAGATCATGTTTCACAACCGTGAAACAGAACGGGGAAACTGCTATACAGTATACCCATCCCTTAACCGACAGAGATATTTCGTCTACACTTCTGTTGACGGAAATTGACAAGTACTAACAGATTTTGTAGTTTGGATTTACTTGAGATGGCCAGACTTTACATAAGATCATGGTATTTGCGTTTTTTTCAGATTCACAGCATATTAACAAATCGTTGTTATGTGCCAAGTGGCATTCACTTACAAGCAAAAATGGGAAACATTCTGTCACCAATAAATTTTATTTATTCATAAACACTGATGGAGAAAAGTGTAAACTTCTTGTTGAACAAGAAAGGTACTTTCCAATATTTTCAAATTAAATGGCATCTTCAGAAAAAGATCATTCATCAAATAAAACGAATGTAATGAATGAATCGTTAAGTCAGAAAGGTAGTTAATTACTTTGAATTTATAACTCTATGTTAATGTAGTGACTGAAACCACTTCTGATCTACTTATTTCACTTGCAAATGAACCTTCACTGGCTTATTTTCATATTCAAGAACATATTAGAAAATCAGTTCCAGAAATCTTGAAATACCAAGTTGAAAATTTCTTGTATTTTTGTAATACTCTTCATATGTAGTTGAAAGTCGAACATTTAGATTCCCAATTACGTGGTTCTTGTTATGATCTTGACTATGCACTTGAGTAAGTCTTGTATCCTTAAATACCTACTTTTAACGACTATGCATCGGAATGTTAGAATACTACTTTAAAAGTCCGTGGCAAATTTTCAAATTGTCTTCGTAATCAGTCAGCTGCAACGTAGGACCAGGCACATACATGCATCGGTCCAAGTTGCCATACCACATTAACACAATAAGATGATGTCTTCGTAATTATCTAGAGCAACTCAGAAATTACAAGTTATTAAGTGATACAAATATGCATCGTTTATGGTTGTTACATTTTATGTCAATGTGGTAAGAGGGGATAAATAATTGATAGCTATAAAAATAAAACCTCTCAACTAGTCAATTTAATTCTGTAGATGGTAATACATCTATCTACCACAGTTCACAACTAGTCTTCTCGATTATTCATTACACTATAGTTTAGAACATCGTTGACTAACGTCCCCTTCTTGCTTAAACTAGGATCACCTGACAGTAATACTTACTTCTTGGTCCCATCACACTATCAATACCATAATGGAACTTATTATCGGTACTTGCATTCTACACATGTTTATCAATGCAGTATGAATCAGTTTGTACTGTGTGCTCTCTTTACTCAAGTCGGATAACTCCATAATGATCATAAGTAGACAAATGTCAAATAAGTTTCCCTTGTCTTTGTTTAGATTTCAACTGTAAACGGCACATAAGGTTTATGCAACTCGGAATACCTAAAGTGGTTCTTATTATATTTGTGGTGTAAATAGGGATTTAAGTGTTTATCACAGTTAATGTCAAAAACTTAATTTTTTACAAATTGCGCAAGATGATATAATCCAGTCTGTTATTTAACTCTGTTTTCTGCCATCATATATGCATTTAGTAATGTTAGAAGTATCTCAAAGGCTACAGTACATTTTAATCGGATTAATGAGCTCTTGAAGTCGAGCTTATTTGCTAAACTTCAGTTGGATTATGCACGCATGAACGCGTAAGTTCCTAGTTTTATATATAACACTCAAAATATTAGTACTCTATATGGTTATGATTCTATTCTTGGAATTCATTAAATGAATATAACTTATCTCACTATCGAAGGGAACTACAATGACAACTGGAATTTTGTGTTTAACGCATAACATATGGTACACTTATTGACAAGTGGTTTGAATTAGACTGTCGAGCTACGCATATATGGAGATATCACCTACGACCCTATTGGGGATTGCAACTCTTCTAAGAAAGTGTTATGCGACGATTAAACACAGAACATAGGCCTAGTCACAAACCGTAACTACTATACGGTAGCGTGATATAACTCAGCTAACAATAACATTTGAGTGGATACGCTTTCAACTGATGACCATCCGTTGGTTAGGACTTAGGTATTTAGTCCATAACTCATAATTAAAAGATAATCAACATATTTCGCATAATACAATACTTTGAAAGATTTCGGGATGTAAAATGTGTAACTATTGCTCATCCAGTTAGTAAGATGGTTATATGTACCGGGACACTAATTCCAACCCCTTCAAAAGTAAGTTCTGAATAATTAATATGAGCCACTAATCCATTACAAAGTAAGTCCAGAAAATGTATGATTCACATCGATTTTGAAAAGAATTACTCGTATACATTTTCAATGGTTTCTATTCGATTTATTATTTGCAGTCCATCAGTTGAAGTAGGCATCGATCTTGTCTCGTGGGATCTAAATGATGAAGAGCTGTTAAGGTATTACACTTGTATCTATACGATTACCAATAACGGTAAATATGCAACAGAATGCTTTATTTTAATCCGCTAATCTTAGTTTGCTTATAAATTACATGTGTATGAATGCAGTGCGTAATCTTAATACATTGTTTGTTTGCAAGTCTTTGATTCATTTTTGCGTGATTTAACACGGTGGTTGTGTTTTCTGTCAGATTTTTTTCATCAGGATTATTGCACTTACATGTCACTATTTTATGCTTTCTTGCTGGTCTGTTTGAATTTGTGTTTAGTAAATAAAGTTAATTATTCGCATTTAAAATTCTCTTGTAGTTTGAGTCATAAAGAGCCACAAGAGAGAAGACCGACTCAATGCAACCAAGACCTACACAGTGACGCTTCTTTCCGAAACAAATGTACAGAGATTCCTACAAACTCACGAACACTAAGCCACATATCCAGCACAGTGTCGACAGCAGCCGTACAAGTACGTGATCAAGCTATCAATTTGACCAGAAGAGTTTTGTGGACACAAAGTGCTGATGTGTCTCACTCTACCATCTCACCCATTTTATCTGATTCTAAAATTGCTAATTCCTCGAGTTCATTTGATGAGAAACCAAAGTTTTTGGAAACCTAGTTTAGCAAACTAATCCTAGTAAGGGAATAAGCTCTGTAAATGAGTAGCTGAAACTGTTTTGTAAGCAGCTATTTTCTATAATTATTGGCAATGTTGCACATTATCATACAAATACAATATTCTTATACCTATGGTTACATTTCTTTTATATATAGTCGTCGAGCTGTTGTATAGATAGCGTAGGTGTAAAAACATTGACTAGAATGTAGTGATAAATTTATCTGGTTGACGACAACTTAACAACATACTTTCCAAACATATACTTAAATAGATAGTATCGTGAGTTCCACATTTTACAACAATTAGCGAAACAGACAAAAACAAGTATATATTATGATAGAAACTACGGGTAACAGTTTAAAACAAAAAGTATGTACATATGAAAGAACTATGGTACAGTAAAATCAACAAGCAATTACAAGCGACGAAGAGAAGACTTCATTAATCGGGCTCGGGCTCTTGGACTGCGAGTTGGGGATGCCCGAGGTTGAATGGGAGACAATCTAAACAAGATAAGGTATTATATGAATTTTCTGTAGTTCAACTATGCGAGAGTAACAATTTAATTTTGAAATCAATCATTTGAACTGGTTGAATCAACATTCATATAGCAAATGGCAGGTTTAGAAGTTTATGATTAGCTAATGGACACTGGGAAAACTTATCATGTGGTATGGTCGCCGGCTTCGGTCTGGGCACCCGGGCAGTATCCCAGCCCACGCACTAAAACATGATGAACTATTTACTTATGGAAAATATTCTTTTAGCTCCGATTTACACTGAAATGACTCGCACTATTATTATTATTTACCATGTCATCTATTCACCCTCTTTTATTTCCACTCTGTCCATCATTATTTTTCGACCTATACAGCAGCTCGCCTATGGTGGAAACTCAGTTCTATCTAAACGTTCTCGAGTCACTGCCTGGTTGAAAATTGTATGTTACCACCGAATACGAGTATTGAAGCAGTTTTTCTGAAACCACGTGCACCATTCAAACTGGCTGCCTTCAACGTTCGCACACTTATGCAGGTCGGACAACAGATAGGGCTGGCTGTCTTTGGAAATTCTTAATATTGACGTGTGTTGTCTATCCGAGACCCGTATTCAAGACTCTGGTGAAGTACTACAAGTTTGCTCTTCATCTGTCGCTTCAAAAAGCTTGTTTTATGTGCGTTTATCCGGGGATCCTGTGGCATCTTCGTCTGGTCTTGCTGGCGTTGAGTGTCGCACTAAGCGCAAGAGCTGAGGCAGCACTAGTCGACTGGATCCCCATTAACAGTCGGTTATGTGCTGTTAGATTAGAAAGTTCCATCAAAGTGAGAAGAAATCGGCGTGAGAAACGATGTCTTTTCGTCATCTCCGCCTATGCCCCGACAGATTGCAGCCCGGATGCAATCAAGGATGAATTCTACCACCAGTTATCTGTTCTTCTCCAGATAGTGCGTTCGACAGATATTGTAGTACTAGCCGGAGACTTGAATGCTCTGGTCGGGCGTCTAGGCACTGAAGAGAGTCGTTTAGGTGGCCGATGGGGACTCGTTGGTCGCAGGACAGATAACGGGGAACGTCTGCTGCAACTATGCACAGACCACAACCTGTTTCTGGCTAGCACTAACTTCCGGCACAGTCATCGCTGATGTGCCACCTGGCGTCCCCCTTCTGCATCTCAAGCCTGGACTCAGATTGATCACATCACGATCAGCTACCGCAGGCGTGGTTGTGTACAGGACTGCCGCTCCTTTCGGAGTACCTATCTGGAATCTGATCATGCCCTGGTCTGCAACTTCTGTTGCTAGTAAGTACAGAACCGAGCTAGTTTCTAGGCTAGCTACCATTCCACCGAAAAGCATAGATGAGCATTGGTTGCAATTGCATGACGTCATGAAAATGGCGGGTACAGTTTGTTGTGGGTTCGCGAAACGTCCCGCTTACAAGCACTGGGTTTCTTCTGGTTCCTTACAACTCACTGAAGCCCGTGGGTCTACTCCGGGTGACCGTGAGTTTGACCACAGACGAAGGATGTTACGTAATGAAATCGGGCAAAGCTTGCGTAAGGACCGAGAAGCCTGGTGGTCGGAGCGTGCTAATGAGCTGGAAGCAGCAGCTGCATCTGGTAATTACCGGAAGCTCTTTCAACTCATCCGAGCCACTGGCAGCAAGAAGTCTGGTGTGAGCGAAACAATCTGCGAGGATGACGGAACGCCAATCATTAACATCCATCGACGTCTTGGACGATGGGCAGAATTCTTTGAAGGGCAGTTCAACTGGCCTGTTGCCCCGACAACACCGATCAGACTGTCCTGCCCTCCATGGCCGGTGACGACTGATCCACCAAATGAGGCGGAAGTCCGCAAGGAACTCCAACTCTTGAAACGTTGCAAATCACCGGGCCCAGATGACTTACCTCCGGTTCTTTTTAAAGATGGTGGTGACTTTCTGACTAAGGGACTGACGACGTTGTTTACAAAGGTCTGGGAACTAGAGAGTGTACCAACGTCATGGAATGAGTCGATAGTAACAACTATCAGGGTAATAAGTCTAATTCCGAGCTATTGGCTTCCGTCATACTTCGTAGGTTGTTCAAAACCCCAGAAGGATTGACTCGCGAGGAGCAGGCTGGGTTTCGTTCCGGTCGAGGATGTATTGATCATATCTTCACCCTCCGCCAAATGTTAGAACACCGTCATACTTATCAAAGGCCAACAATCGTAGTGTTTCTTGATATCAGGGCTGCCTTCGATTCGTTGGACAGAACTGTTCTCTGGGATTGTCTATTGAAGAAGGGTGTGTCTGAGAAGTTTATTAACATCCGAAACGCCCTATATACAAACATCTCAGGCATAGTGAGGGCATACAACCACCTCTCTCCATTGTTCCATCCACGAAGTGGGGTTAGACAGGGTTGCCCAATCTCACCATCCCTCTTCAACTTTGCCGTCGATGACATTCTGGAAACAGCTCTGATGGATGTAAATAATGGTGGTGTTGGTCTGTTGCCTGGGGAAAGACTTCTCGACCTTGAGTATGCGGATGATATTGTCTTACTGTGCGAGAATGCCCAAGTCATACAATCCACACTTAATCAGTTTTTTTTCTCTTTCTCTTCAAATTATCATTGTTTTGTGTGGCTCATATATATTTGGTGCTCCCTTGTACCAATATTTATGTGTTCAAATAATTAAATAAATAATATTATGTACCCCGTCATAAAAGTATTTTACGTTTTGATACCTGAGAAATTTATTCAAGGTTAATGAGACCCTATAATGTAGGGAATCGACCTTTCTATCATGTCAACTGAGAGTTTGCAAGCCAAGAAAATTTTGCACATTATAGTCCTCGGGAAGTTTTAAATGAAATAAACGGTAGCAGCGTATTTAACCTAATGGTGCCCAAACTAGCTGCTGTTATTAAAATCAGTCACACGTTATTTCAACTAGTCTTAAGCCATATTTGAGGTACTTACTAATTGGTGAGTCATATGTGAGTTGGCTTCGGTTGGGAAACGAGTGTGCAGGTCATCCACGTGATACTTTTGGTTATAGAATATAGCTGTTTCATTGCCAAGTCAGATTTCGTTCATGAACAACAGATAACTTTTTATGTCCGAGATCTAGTCATGTACGTTATATTAAGTTTTATAGAGGCAGTATCGTCAGTTAGTAAGGGGCTTAATTAGTGAAATGACAGTAGCATTGCCAAGTTTACGTTACATTGCCTCTGGAATTTAAGTGACGATGAGTGTTTGCTAATTCAACATAAAAACCAGTTTGAACAAACAAACTAGTGTTTCAATTGTTACACGTCCCCATTGTGTGGTTTTTCTGTGAGTGGGATGTGAGCATATACACGTTTTTCATGAATTCAGATCTTGGATCAAAACTTTCTTCTTATTGACTATATATCTGAGTACACTAAAAAGTGGTTTTTTGCTCAATAATAATAATAATAATAATAATAATAATAATAATAATAATATATATATATATATATATATATATATATATATATATTTGGAACATCGAACCTGGAATCCATGACTTTTTATTTAAACATTTTATTTAAACACTACTTTGTCCGTACATATTTAAGTATTGTTGAGATCTAATTTAAGGAACATTTTCGAAATGTATCGTCACGGCACCACTGTACACTAACTTAAAGAATAACAAGTAGCCATTTAGCTACATAGACACTTGATATTGTACCAGTGACGATAAATTTTAAGACCTCTAAATGCAAGCAACTTGAAATAATTTCTGGAGAAAATCAGTCGTAAAATACGATAAACCATACCTGTATACTGGTAAGTCTGGTGTCGTTTGACATTTATCACTGGGCGAGTGTTCCCGTTGACAATTATAACAGACAGAGATACCACAATCCAAAGCCTGACAATGCAAACGATTCGGCCATTCATTAGGTCTATAAAACGCCACTCCAGAGCATACGGGACATGGATGCAAAAACTCCTTCTAGTGATAATAAATAAAAGATTTAATGAACAAAGTCGTAAACAGAAAAAAAGCCGCGTCACCAGAAAGTGAAAAGTGATAACATTCGTTTAGAAATGGTTTTCGTGAGTAGCAATGCTAATGATCTAAAATGACAACTTGGTCGGTTTCGGCTACGTTGATGCCCAGGAATGTGGTCTGAGTAGTGAGTTAACTTTCTTAGCAAACATTCGATATATTAAACCGCCCTACTATCCTAAAACAAATATTTCAAACTACAATGGGAGTATAAATATTATTAGTCGCTAACCTTTGATAGCAATTAAGCCTTTTTAAAACTAAGAACAAGCGTACAAAGTGAAAATTACAAAGCTTAGTAATCAAGCAATAATAAATTCTGTGTAATTCATTATCCATAGTGCTTGTGATACAACCCAGTATGGTAACGACCTAATCTAACTGGCACTTTTCTACTCATAAGATGGTGTGTAAATGTAGATATTAAGTTTAAGAGTTTAACTCATGGGAAAAATGGTTTAAGTCACAAGTTACAATTTCTTATTAGTAAATGACTCTCTTTGGAGGACACTACGACTGTTATTGTCTAAAAGCATATTATCTATTGGCTTGAAACCAGGTGATTCCATTACAATTATTTAATACCAATTACCGCATAGCGGTAGACTTGGAATGAAATATGCAGTTAACATGTATAACTTCGGTTTTTTGCTAATCAACTTGAATGTTTCTTACGCGATTGTTAAATCCTAGTGTTACTAAGAACTTGTAATTGTCCAAATATATCATGCAAAATTTGTGAGACCTATTTTCAATGCACTAATAGAAAGGGGAGATCTCCTGTCAACCCTACTGAAGATAAAAATTTATGATAGACCATGGTTTACTGAACCTATTAAGGGTGTCTAACATATATACTTTCTAAACAGACTGACATAAAAAATTTACACCATATTAGCGAATTTGCATATTTACAAGGAAACCTTTATTACCTTAGTATCAAACTTGTCAACTCTATTCTTAATCGTACAGGGGTTGAAGCAGTTGATCACACTTAACGGTTTGCGGTTGGTTTTTGATCTCTGTGAACCCTTGGCCCAATTCTCCTAAATACAAGTTTATAAATTATGTGCAACGAACCTTTATTGTCATCTCATGCTTTCTACTAGCGGTAAACAGCCGTGGAAAGTGCGATTTCAAAGAATACCAAGACTTGCAAACGCTGAGTATTGTAAGACGGTCAGAAATAGTCAGGTAACGAAGAATTTTCAGAAGTATATATTCCGATTTTTCAAAAGACATCAGGGCAGACAGAATATCAACACGCCGCTTACCCCGTAACCTGAACAATGAGCGAACAGAGTCAAGAAACTCACGAATATCTAACGCCGGTACGTTCATGAACTTCTATACTTTCAGGGAAAATATCTTTTTCCGAGGTACAGCCGGAACTAAGGAAAGTCGAAGAACAAGTACCATAACCGGCATCCTGCATACAATCTGCAAGTGATATGGATTCATGTATAACGCGATATGGTGTCGAAGTATTTTGTAGCGGCGAGAAGCTGCTTTTTCTTTGATATTTATGGAACATCCCATAAAAAAGCTAAGCAATTTCAAAAAGGGATACTTCCAACAACGCGCCGTTACCTTGCGTACGAAATTTCGGTACAGAGAAACTCCTACAATTAAATTATACGTAATCGTAGTGAAAATATCCTGATATTAATTTACTAATATTCAAGCAGTCAAGTTTAAGAGACATCATGTATGTTACCGCTGTCACTCATTCATTCCTAACATATGTGGCTTAAGTCACACTTCAATGTGACACGGATCAATCTTTTAGTTACAGCAAAAAATCGATCCACGTTAAGCTTCTTTGAAACAGCGTAATTGACTAAAATTAATGGAATATCACAGTAAAAACTGTACGTATGTATTCTCGCCTGGCTTTTCCGTGATATCTGTAAAAATGTGTTGAGAAGTATTGCGTAGTAAAGATTATGCAAAATCTGCAATAAAAATATGGAGAAATTCGAAAGAAAGGCGCAAAAATCAAGATAAATTTGCAGAAAGCGCAAAATTCAGGAGAAATTTGGGGGAAAAACGCGAAATTTCCTCAAAATTTTTCACAATTTTGGGGTTGATTAATGAATATAAGCCGATTTCCCTAAAGTGAATTAAGATTTTGAGGTAATTTTAAGAGAATATTGAGGAATTTTCCCAAATTTTATTAATTCGGCTTCCCCCAAATTTCTCCGAAATGTGTCAAATTTTCCCCAAAATTGGGAGATTGGGTTACTGACATCGGATGATTAGATTCTTCATCCTCACGTTTTGACATTGATTGAAGGCCTTGGGTGTATTTAATGAGTACAGTGAAGTCCGTCTGTTCATTTAGTTTCGCTAATCCTGGGTGTTCGAACACTTGGATTATAGGGGGTCTTTCTGAGTTTTCTCAGGGAAACGGAACCCTAGTATTTTTTGTAGTGAGGGTGTGACATGCCACATACCGTAACCTTGGGTTATAATCAAATTAGCTACCCGAGCTGAACAACCTTTCTTTCCCTTACGATCCTGGTTGCAGAAGAGGATCTCGTTAAATGTTGCTTACCAGAATAAAGTCACTTGAACTATCAAAACTCTGATCTGAGAGATGAAGGATCTTGGTATAGAAGAGTTAAAACGTCAGTTCAGAGGCAGTTTAACTCCACTTGTAGTTCTATGGCTATCGCCGGTTTGAAGCCCGGGTAAGGTGGGAGGGTTGTGCTTGGGTTCCGCATTTTCATCCATTAGAAAACAACCTTGCTAGAAAATGCCTCATGGTGAAAGTCAAGATTCTTCGGGCGTCACGAGAATGATACTCCTTCTAACAACCAGGGCAACCACTATTATATGTACATGGAAGGTTCCGACAATGTGGAAGACCAGTCGAATCGAAACGGAAATGGGGAGACACAACTTGACGGTGGCGCTCGGAAAAAGACACCCAAATGCCCTGGTACGACTGAAAGTGTGGAGAGTCAGACCTCTCTCTCTCTCGAAATGTCCCTACATGGTCACGTGCATGCAACCACTGAAAAGAAAGTCCTACTCACTGCATTATCGTGTCCCGGGTGTTGTTTACGAAATCGAGAGGATGAAAAACGAATGAATGATATGAAGGATCAACCTAGGGATTTGAAAAACCCTGATACCAAACCAATAGTGCACTTGGGCTCCTGAATCTTGAGGAGAAATATGGTGTATGAACCTACTGTTGGTCACCGGCCGCCATAAGACTGCATCTCCTAACGTTGCTCCACCGCCTTGTGGATTAGACCTTTAGGTCAAAGGCTCGGGTTGTGGCTCCCTAAGAAAACCACCTACTTTGGTTTGGGCACCTGTGCAGTATTCCAGCCCTCACACAAATCGTTCGATTTGTGTGGCGCATATGTATTTGGTGCCTCGTTCTACCAATGTTTATGTGCTTAGATAATAATAATAAACTTTGGCTATGATTGTTGGGGATAATATGGAACACACGTTCATGATTTTACTGTCGGAACCTATGAAAAATCTATGTTAACGATGTATACTGAAGATTTTTGTTTATATTTTTTGTAGATAAATAAATAAACTCGGAATAAGTGAAACCCATTGGAGCAAAGCTGGACAAAAAATGATAGGCTCCGAAAAGATGTCGATTTTTTCTGGCCACGAAGAAGTAAATGCTCCACGTTCAAGGAGGTGCCTTGATGCTTTCTAAAAAGGCACATAATACACTTATAAGATGGTTATCTCACAGATCCAGGACCATCAATTCATCCTTCAAAACAAAGAAGGATATTAAAATGAATGTTATCTAATGTTATGTGCTCACCAATGATAGCAGAAAAGATGATAAAGGCTAGTTTTTTTGAGAGGTCGCAATTAGTCATAGCGAAGTGTTCAGGAAAAGACCTGGCTGTCTTTATCAGAGACCTAAAGGCCAAAGACGGAATGGATAAAATGGTTAGGAAATTATTATGGGACGAGATAGATTGGGAGAAGCAAAAGTGGGGAGAGATTTTTAAACCTATTGGCATGCAACAAATGAGTTATGGGTGACACAATATTCCCACACAACCACATACAAAAAGCCACATGGTTCTCACCGGACCATACCACAACGAATCACATGGTTCACACTTGCATCACTAAAAATCCAGAAGAACAATGGAAGACGCGAGAACCACGAGAGAAACTGACATAGTTCCATATCACCACCCGGTTCTAGTCAAAATAAAACTGGATCTAAAGAAGCATTGGACAACTAGATAAACAGCACCACAAAATTTTAAAGTAGCTTTTCTCTGAGATGCTAGCAAACTCAGCGAATTCGTGATAACTCGCTAGAACAGGTTCCAGGCTTTAAAATATTTAATTGAAGAGAGAACTGCTAAGGATGACACTTGGAAAGAGACGAAGAAGTCCCTACCTTCAACGTATCGGGAAGTTCTGGGCAGCAAGACGCATCATCACCAGTAATGGGTCTCTATAGAGACCGTGGACAAGATCGAAAAGAGCAAGAAGACAGCGATTAACAGAGGTCGAATAACAACAGGCAAAGTCAAGGTACACTTCTAATTCACTGAAGCAAACAAACAATTGAAGAAGAGCATTGGAGATGACAAACAAAAATATATAGAAGACACAGAAACAATAGCGAAAAAAGCTGAAAGAGAAAGAAACATGATACGAAGAAACTATCAGGGAATCATACTAGACCGGAGAGACTGGCCAATGACAAAGAACAGAGGGACAGGTGGATAGAGTACTTTGAAGAACTCTTGATTAGACCTCAGTTACATAGGCATCACACCATAATCGGTGCCAAGAAAAGTTTTCAACGGTGTGTTGCTGAACCAGACGGAAAATTCTGTAGACGTTCAGATTCTAGATCAACAGCCTGGATACCACAGGGATCTGTCGTGCACAGACCGAATCGCCACACTACGGATCATTGCTGAGTAGTCGATTGAATGGAATTCGTCAATGTACACCAAATTTCTTCATTATGAGGAGTTTAATGGTGTGAATAAAAGAACATCATGGAAGCGTCTTCTACACTATGGTGTACCTGAGTAAATCGTCAATATCTTACGGAATTTATACTATGGACTACAGTGAAAACTGGTGCATAGAGGACAGCTGGCAGATGCATTTCAAGTGAAAATCGGTGTCAGGAAAAGCTGCTTACTCTTTCTCATCTTTTACTACTAGTGTTTGACTAGATTATGAAGATTTCAATATCCGATTGGAAGCACAGAAAAACAATGAACAGCTTGGAATCAACTAAAAGATTCGGACTTCGCAGAGGATATGGCCTGTCTATTCCATACAGACCAACAAAGTCAGGTGGAGACAAACAGTGTAGCAGCAGCCTCTGCATCATTAGGCCTCAACATACATAAGGGAGAAAGTAAGATCCTGAAATATAACACAAAGAACACCGACTCAATAACGGTTGATGACTAAGCTCTGGATGAAGTGGAAACATTCACACATCTGAATAACATCATCGATGAACATGGAGGATCAGATGCAGACATAAATGCAAGGATTGAAGATGCAAAGACAGCATTATTATAGTTGAAGGACATGTGGAACTCAAAGCAAATGTTAACCAACATCAGAGTTATATTCTTCAACTCGAACGTCAAGACGGTTCTACTGTTCGAAGCTGAAATTTTGAGAAACACTACAATCATCGTCGAAAATTTGCATGTATTTACAAAAACAACTGTCTACGCAAGATACTCAATATCCGTTGACCGGATACCTCAGGAAAGGTTAACCAACTTGATTTTTTAATGCAAAATGAAACAATAGCTTTGATGAATATGAAAATCATATATCAAATACATTGCTTCCCTATAATTCATCACATTTCCTTTCCATACTTCATCGTTCTTTCGACCCTGATTTTCTTTTGATTCGTATTCCTTTCGCTTTCTCTTCTTTTTATTTCACTCTTCTGGTAGTAGGCATTTTGCCTCCACTTCTAGCTACACACAACTTGCGTCTATCGGAACGAGTAGTGCATCCTATAGTACGAAATCAGCCCAAAAATATATTAGGTTTACAAAAGAAAAGCAGGCGGAAGATAATATTTCTTTTGAAAATGTAGCTGCAATTAATTCTGTCAAAATAAAAATAGTAGCATGAGAGCTCCAAAAAGATAAGCAAGGTATCATCCCACTGTGTTTTTTAAATACCATCCAGCGGTGTTAAAACATTTGGCTTTTTGAGCCGATGATTTTATCTCATCACATCAGCATATTCAAGCAATAGTTTAAAAAATCTTGAGTTAGAAATTTCTGTCAGAAAATATCTTCCCAAAGAACTAAAGAAGTTGAACGACTATACGTCGAGGTGATGTAAAGTAACACCTTTCTCAGCCAGATTAACTTTGTAAATGCAGTACCCGGAGGTTTTGCCTTTCCATTCACTGTTTGCAAAGCAATGCAGCAGTGTCTTAGTCTAAAATCTTTGAATTCAGAGAGCAAATAAACGACAAACGTCCAGGTACAATAATTTTCCGTAAAACGTCGATTACCACTGCTCACCGACAGTGATCTTTTACCGAACGACTTCACTGATTTTTTGATGT